GGAGTGGTGCACAACGGCATCACCACCAAGAACGTCACCTACAACCGGTCGGACGGCCGATTCAGGCTCGTCGATTTCGGTTCGGCCGAGTTGTGCGACAGGAAACCGGAAGATTTCGGAATGCGGCTAGAAAGCAGAGACGTCGAAAAATTCGGAGCGGTGGGACGCGTGTGCTCGGGAACGCCGGCTTCGATGTACGTCCCGGCGGACACCGAAATTTACACGATGGACACGAACCCACGACAGTCGGAGATCAGGAGCGTCATGAAGCTCGCATCCGTCGCCTTCAGGGACGTCAGCCACGTCATGACCAACAGGCACGTGAAGACCCTGTCGTGGAGGTCGGACCTGTACTCGGCGGCGATCATGGTGGCGGCGATGCTATGCCGTCGCGGAATTCCCTCTTTCCGTCAGGTAGACTATTCCGACTTGCACGGAAAAGACTCTGCGACCAGGTCGGGCGTCGTTCGCGAACTCGTCAACGTGTGCAAAAACCTGGTGGCACTGAGAGGGGGCATGAATTCGTTCAAAAGTGCATTCTGGTACACGTACGTCAACGAGGACCCGATCCTGCTGGACGCGCTCGTCTCAAAACCTCGGACTCGGTGCCATTGCTCGATCGCTTCCGAGACGTCCTCGGAGAAAGGTTCGTCGACTGCCTCTGCAAAAACCTGTCGCCGATACCGGAACAGAGGAACTTATCCTGGTTGCAAACTTCGCGGGGAGCTGACGACGAGAGAACGACCATTCGCTGCAACGATCTCCTCGCCGTGAAACGGGCGGACACCAACGTCGTCCACCTTCTATTCAGGGAAGAGGACGTGATAGTCGGTGACGTCAGATATCGCACGGAGGACGACGGCACGGCGATAGTGGATCACTTGCAGATCCTAGTCCAGGGACCCGACCTTCCTATGTCGTTCGTCCGGTCGGCGCTGGATCTGGTGGACGTCCGAGCTTCCACGGTTCATATCGTCGCTTACAACGATAAGGAGCTTCGCACGATCTCGAGATGGTTTCCCGATCACCGAATGACCGAACGAGGACGCCTGGCCGTGAAACTCGACTCTCGCGTGCCCGCCATCTCGCCACTGCGTGCGTACGGCAGCTTGCTGCAGCCGTTGGATCTCAACGGAGACCGCGATCGTCGACCGAATCAAAGTTTGCTGGAGGTCAACCGAATTTTCGAGGAGATATTAATCAACGGCATACGGAGATCGAGCATACTCTCTCCGATCTCGAACCGAGGAAGCCTGCCGACTCTGCATTCGAACGAAGACCGACCGACGCAGCAACGTTCGCGCTCCGCCGGCGAAGTCGACAGAATTTTCGACGAGATATTATTAAACGGCGTCCGGAGACCTTACTCTCACCCATAATCGATTAAGATCGAGACGATGCACGTCTGAGTCGAATCCACGTGCGGCAGAGCGGCCGTCAACTTCTTCCTAGTCAACGTCGTTTCGTCGCAGACCATCGCGCACCGGTA